CCTATGTGAGTGCCCATTGAAAAGTCTTTTATGAAAGGTGAGAAGCCAAAGAAAGAGAAAAAAGAACCATCTTTGCTGGGACTCCACTGCAGACAGAAGCAGCCAGGAGACAGCATCTCTAAGCATAAATACTTGGCCATGGAAATGGAAAAGCTCTTTACAGTAAGTTGTATGTTTATTGAACTCTTATCCAAAGGGAGCTGGGATGGGCAGGAGCAGTGAGGGGGCCACGTCCCTATCCAATTCCTTGGCTCCACGCTGTGTCCATGCCCATAATGCAGGGCCTCAAATCTTGGGCACAAAGAGGGGAAGTGTTGAACTGGTGACTTCTCACCACAAAACCACTTCCTTCCTGACAGCTAGTGGTGAGCACCACAGGCATGACCCTTCCAACACTCCGTGCTACTTCTGCTTCTCTTGGGCTTTGGATAAAATGTTCCCAAGCAACAGAGGGATTATTTTTTTACAATTTTTCTGTTTTGCATTTTATTAGCAGAAACCTTTTGTATTTCTATTACAATATCACAATACTGTATTTTTATAATCATTCCAGTCCTGCTGGTTGCACAGCTCTTTTACCATCCCACTTGGGCTGGAATTTTGGTAGAAGATGCTACTTTTCCCCTGTTGCTTCCTAATTAAAATTTTCATATTATCTCTGAGATCCAAAAAACACATGCCACTGCCGCAGAGATCGCTGCTTAGATATTTTTAATCCCTGGAAATGTTCAAGGCTAGGTTGGACTTTGTCTTTGACTTGGGGCTTGGAGCAACCCTGATCTAGTGGAAGGTGTCCCTGCCCATGGCAGGGGGGGTGGAACAGGATGAGCTTTAGGGTCCCTTCTAACCAAAACCATTCTGTGATTCTGTGATTTCCTTCACAAAGCATCAATGTGGTGGTGCAGGTAGTGTCCACCACACTGAGCCCAAGCCCAATCCCATCTGAGGTTTAGGATTGTCCATGGCTACCTTGAAGTACAAATTTATGCTCAGGCATAAGCTCAGGGCTTGTACATCATGTCCAAGGCCAGCTGCTCTCCCTGCCAAAGGACACCTCTGAAAACACAGCTCTTGGCTATATAGGGTTCTGCAGCTTTGAGTTTTAGTGATTTCTAAATGGTCTCTGAGTGATGGGCATATCCCCTCATGGAGAAGTCAACATGAAATCTTGCTTTGCAGGTGGCAGACAGCTTCCTGGGAGTTGTTAACAGTGGAAATGAGGTAATAAGGCTTTTAAATTCATGCATTTTTTCAAATTGGTAGAGGGGAGGAGGAATGAAGTGAAGGGAAGAACCACAAGGGTTGTCTTTGGTGCAGTGTACAGGATGTGGCCCTTCTGCCCTTCTCTTGCCACCTAGATATTGGTGGGTACTTCTATGGCCCATCATTGCAGCCCAAAATCTGTGGAGTAGATGGGGGAAGGGACACTCTCCAGTTTGTGGAGGGCTGCAGAGGGGGATCATGGGGCAGCCCCATGCCGGCCTCAGTCACGAGGCAACGCGCAGATCTGGAAGGGTTTGGGGCAGCGTGTGAGGCTGAGTGTGAAGGCAAAGCTCAGCGTGGCATCTACCGGTGCCTGGAAGGTGAACTTCTGCAGGAGGGCTACGAAGAAGATGAAGAGCTCAGTCCTGGCGAGCTGCTCCCCGGGACAAGCCCTCTTGCCTGAAAAGGAGCAAAAAATACCCCAAAAAAGTCCTGAGCGAACTCCAGCCACCTCCAAGTCTCATCTCGCCTGCGCCGCCTCTCACAGGCTGCTGCGGCTTTTCTTCCTGGAAAGGTTAGGTGGCAATGTTCACCCACACAATCTGCTCAAACCTTACCCAGAAGTTTACTGCTGAGCAAACTGCGGCTGCTCAGATAGACAGAGAGGGGAAACGGTGAAAAAAACCTGGTTATGCAACTTGTGCAAGAGGAAAAAGGCTTATTTCTTTAATCCTGCAATAACAAAATTGATTTCCCTCCTGCTCCGAGCAGCCAGTATAGCAGTGACCGGGATTTTCACTGTGGGGGTGGGCTGGAAGCTGAACAGGAGAAGTGCCCCCTACTCTATAAGTTGTGTCTTGGGGGAAAAATAATAAAAGCATTACAAAAAGGAAAGCCACCTCCCCATCCATCATCCTACCTGCAGAGAAGGGCAGAAAAGCCTCCCGCCTCCTGTATTGGCCGTTTTCCAGGAAATGTTCAGGATTAAAGGTGTCTGGAGTCTCCCACACGTTTTTGTCGAACATTATCGAAGTCAGGCTGGTCATCAGGGTGGTGCCCTGCGAGAGGTGGGGAAAGCGGGTGATTACGTGGCGGAGAAGAGCCAACGTGTTGTCAGACTGGGTTATTATTAGCTCTGTTCCACACACAGCGTAAACTACATTTTCTTAAGGGCAAAATGCTTTGGGTTTTCTCCCCCCTAAGCTATGTACTTGAATTAGGATGAAAACCTACAGGATTGTTCACTTCTATGTGTCTTTAAGTATCACCATAGTGTTGATCCACACCTTGAGCTGCTGTAACAGGTGATGTTACTATAAACCAACTTTAAATTGGTAACACCGCATTCCCATAGGAATTTGAAACAATTTAATCAAATACTTTTCAATTGGTTTGTTTTATTGTGCCTTAAAAAAAACCCAAACTTGATCTGGTTTATCTCCACATCCTTCACCAGCAAGAGAAATATTCTAATCAGTGTGGAGGAAAACACCCAGATTTTTTATTTTTAATTTTCCTTGATGCAATCAGCCATATAGATTTAAGAGTCTAGTTGTATCTAATCCAATATTTGCTTTCGTAATTGCAGCACAATGTGTGTGCAACAATACCCACTACCTGGCTTTAGTCAAGTTCTATTTTTAATAGATGATTTTTAATACTCTGTGGAATTAACAAACACAAACTATTTGCTTTCCCACATTTCTTGGCCCTCTATTCCCATAATGTGTGGAATATACAATTATAAAATTTTAAGGGATAAATCTTTTAAAATTGGAAATCATGACCAACACCATAAGGATCTCACAATTCTCCTCTTTAAGGAGTTGAGATCCATAACAGCCCCACATCCTCTAGCAGGAGCCCTTGTATTTTCTATACAACAGTGATATCTCTGCAAGATCCTGCTGGTTGGTTCCCTTCCAGGTGAGATTTGGAATTTGGACTATGAAGACTCTGCTCTGGTAGGATGGAGGCTGGTGGACTCCACGCACTTTGGGCAGGTGGAAGCCGGCCAGGGTGGTGTCGCTGGTGGCCATCCTGGGCACCCCCAGTGGCACCACGTTGCCCATTCTCAGGACCTCGCTCAGCACCGCGCTGGTGTAGGGCATGTTCTCCTTGTCAGCCATCGTGGGCTGGCGGGACTGGCCAAGTACCGTGTCGATTTCCAGCTGCACTTTCTCTGTGGAGAGCCAAAAAACAAAAGCCTGTCCTCATGGAATCATAGAATCTTTAAGGTAGGAAAAATCCTTTAAGACTGTTGAGTCAAACATCGAGGTCATTAACCCAGCACTGCCAGACCACCCTTAAACTGTGTCCCCAAGCACCAAATCCATACTCCTTTAGGAAGATTTCCAGGGGTGGTGAATCCATCACCCCTCTTCCAGCCTCTTCCAGGGCTTGACAACCCTTTCAGTGAAGAAATTTTCCCTACTGTCTAATCTAAACTTCCCCTGGTGCAACTTGAAGCTGTTTCCTTTGCCAATCACCTATTCTTTGGGAGAAGAGACCGAGCCCCACCTGGTTACAACCTCCTTTCAGAGAGTTGTAGAGTATGAGAAGGTCTCCCCTGAGCCTGCCGAGCCTCCTTTTTTCCAGGCTAAATACTCCCAGCTCCCTCAACTGCTCCTTCCAAAAATTCCCAGTAAGATGCCTGGTGCACAGGCATATCCAACACATGGCAGAGCTGGGATAACTGTTCCCTGAGTCTCACATATCTAGTTTTGGGCTAAGCAAAGGACCCATCCATGGCCCTACCCTGGATGTGGGGGTATGTGGCCATGTAGAGCACAGCCCAGCGGATGGCGGTCGCTGTTGTCTCAGTCCCAGTTAAGAACAGGTCCAAGGTGGAGCACAACAGGTTTTCTTCATGGAAATATGAGCTGGTGTCACCTTTAAACTTAGGAGAAAAACATGGCAATGAAAACTCTTATTAAGGATGGGATGATGCTTTCAAAAACCTCATCCAAAACCACTTGTATGCAACCTAAATCCTGCTGCTCCTTTATTATCTACCAGCCCTGGACTTGGAAATTCCTAGCTCTTACTTTCACATAATTTTAAGCCCTATGAACTGTTTTGAAAGACACTCTTGATGCTGTAGAGCAACTCTTGAATGCAGGTAGTGTTTTTAAATGTCAAGTTTCCCAATAGCAAACACAGGCCTGAGAGCTCTCATATAAACCTGAACGTGTTCCCTGAGAGTCCTCCTACACCATGTAACAGAGCGAAAAAGGGAAGAAGACAAAGTGTAAATACTTTCAGCTGGAAAAAAAAACCAAAACTGTGTGTTTTCAAAGCAATCAGGCTCCTGCTGTTGCTAGAGTTTGACATGGCAGAGGTAGGGAGGAGAAGGCATGAGGAGCGTGAGGCATAAGCGCTCCTGACAAAACAGACTTGAGTCTTCTCTACTCGTTCTATTGGTTAAATTTTCAGTGGCTTTAGGCATTTCCCTCCTACCTTTTCTATTTCCCTCAGGTAACAGTCAATATAATCTCCCGCCTCGGACTGGTCCAAATGCTCCTTGTGCTTTGCAATCACATCTTTCACAAAATATTGAAGTTTCTCCCAGTGCCTGAAGATTTTCTTGAAGGGTCCTGGCAGCCAGCTCATGACCCAAGGAAAAGCGTTATACAACTGGTCAGAAATCAAACAGAGCAAAAGAGCATTTCTTGAGTTCGAAAAGAGCAGGTATCATAGTTGAGATGACAGGGCAATTTATTAACTCCACTTGCTGCCAGGCAGAAACAGCAGTTCTGCTACAAAGGTCCAGTTTGTACAAATTTACTTACACAAATATAAACAAGTACAAACGAGATAAGAATGTTTTCTGCTGATAAAATTCTCTGATTGCACCAAATGTGAGGTGACCACAGATGAGGTGGATGCAGATCAGCTCTTCAGTGCCCTCATAGAGGGGACAAAGATCAGACCTGACCCATGATATGTGGCCACGCAGAGACTACATTTACAGTCCTGTAGCGGTTTTTTTCCTCATACACCCAAATTATTTTAACTTACTTCCTTGTTTTCCTGATAGATTTGTGTGTGGTTTCAGTCTAATGTAGAACAATACTTTTGGTCATTTTTCTTATAACATGACTTTTTCTACAGGGAAAAGGAGCTGTCTTTACCTGGCCCCAGAAACTTCCGATGAGTAACAGTGTTTCAGCCAGCAAGTGCAGTAACTCCTGGAAACGGCTGTCATGGTAGTCGAAACGGCTCCCAAAAGTTATGGAACAGATGATGTTTGAAACAGCACTATTAATTTTGTAGTGAGGGTCAAATGGTTGTCCTGGAGGAAATAGAATGAAAGGAATTGCCTGAAAAGAGGTTCTAGCCAGATGGGGGTTCTTCTTCCACGTAGCATGTGACAGGACAAGAGGAATTGGCCTCAAGTTGTGTTAGGGGAGATTTAGATTGGATATTGGGGAAAATTTCTTTACCAAAAGCGTGGTCAGGCATAGAAATATGCTGTCCAGAGCAGTGATGGAAGGCTTGTAGATGTGGCACTTGGGGACATGGTATAGTGGTGAACCATGGCAGTGCTAGGTGGCTGAATTATCTTAAGAGCCTTGCCCTGCCTAAGTGGCTCCATGATTCTAAAGACAGCTGCTTTTTTTTTTTTTTTTCCTTCAAGTCTCAGTCAAACCCACAGCTCTACCACAGCTGTAAAGTTGGGGTGAGACCTCACCTACTTATCAGCCATAGTGATGCTAAAGGCTTCAGCTGGGTCTTGAAGTACCCACCCACCCCATCACTTCCACCATCCCATTGGAGGTTAGACCTTGTGGGCCATGATATCCTTTCCTCAAGGACATCCCTTCCTGTCTCCAGCCCAGGCTGCTGGCAGATACTGACGTTGGCATAGAGCTGCCCAAGCAGGGTTTGAAACACCAGGGAGAACAACCAGAAGCAGGGTTTGAAACCAGAGAAAACAATCAGAAGCATGACGTGCTATGGCTGTTGAGTTTGGATGCTGCAACACATTTGGTCCCTCAAAGCTTAGCCCGGAGCAGGGAGCTCAGGACAAACCACACTGCAAAAATCCCATTGCACTGGCCTTTAGTTGTCCACCACAAAGAAATCAAGTGAGATGGGGGAGATTACTGTGCCAACTGTAAACTCCAGCAACAGCTCATATGGCCCACAGCCATGAAGCACATTTACAAGAGTGTGGTGTGACACTCGTCACATCCGTACTACCTGGGAGGGCTGTTGAGCAGACACCATCATCTCCCAGGACACATTTCAGCAGCCTGGAGAGCTCCTTGCTGTGACATGAGAGACTAATCTCAGTAACAAACCCAGCCCAGCCCTGAGCTGCTGTCTCTACACTGGGGAGCATCACTTTGAAATGCAAGGCACTCTGCACAGGACTGCTGATCTCTCCACTCTTCAAGAAAGTAATTAAACCAGGCTGGTGCTCAGATATCAGAGTGATGGACATGATCACTATTTGTCATTGCTAATGGGAAGAAAGGCCCAAACCAGCAGCTTAATTAGTTTATTGATTAGGAATATAAAGGACTATAATCAATTGGCAACATGGAGTATTTGGCCTGTTCAGTGCAACAGCAATTAAAATGGAGCAAGTTTAGTATATAATTTCACAATTCCTATTTAGATCTTTCTTGTTTACTATATATAGCTCCATAGAATTAGCTCAACCCCATCTGCTTCTATTTAAAGCTGAAGTGCAACATCACCCATGTACCAACATACAAATTATTCTTACTAATATCCCTCTGGCAGTTTTTAAAAGCTGGACCATAAAAGAGCAAAACACACACTTCATCTTTGTGTGACACAAAAGAAAAGCCTGACTAAACAAGTTTTAAAATACTTTGCAAAACCAAGGACAAGCAGAGGTTAACTAAGCCTCTGAGTGGTAGTGGCTGATAGCAGGAAAGCTGCGTTTATTCTGTTCGCAGAATGCAGGAGACACCTTCTTAGCCATATAAACATGCATGTTTTAATAACCATCTACTATATATTTTCTTGATATTAATAAGGAAGAACTGAAATAGGAGTCCTGAGGTTTAAAACAAGTGCTAAAAGGCACAGTCTGGAAGTGTAAGATAGAAATTTGAGCTATTGAAGAAATGTTTTGCATGTTAGGAGCTGTGCTGGGGTGAGGGTTTTACTTCTCATTGTTCATTTAACTGGAAGCTCTGAGCACAGTGCTGTACATTTAACCCCCCACCTTTCTCCTCCTCAATTGTCTCCACAAGGTACCGGCTCTCCTCTTGCACTTTTTCCTCAAAATTTACGGCAAGGTTCTTCAGTGTTGCTAAAACAAACTTCCTCTGTTGCCTCCATATGTGCCCATTTGAAGATATGAGCCCTGTAGGTGGAAAAAACAAGTGAACAAACCTCTCTCTGGGTCATGTGTGAGCATTAGGATTCAGAAACAGCCATTCATCGTGAACAAAAACCCCAAACCAAAGCAAACAAAGCCCATAGACATGGAAAAACTACGTCTTTGCCTGGGAATCAAAATTCAAGAGTAATTGGCTTATGTTAAAGATCTTTAGCTTTATGGGTTTGCTTTAATCTGCTACTTTGTCATTTTGCGTGGGAAAAAAAGGTGTAAGCCAAAATACTACGAGCACTGTCACGCTGCTGGCAGAGCTGCAGGCAAGAGCACCACATCCCATCTCTGGAGCTGTATGCAACTGAGAGAGAAAAAGTAAAGGAGAAACTAAAACTAAGGGGAAAACTCTTCAAATATATAGTTTGCTGGTTAGCTTCAATTTATTTCTCCTCTTTCATCAAGGCCTGGTTTTGATCCCATACTCATCCCTAAATCTCAGAGAGATTAAAACATACTCCTGGGAGATTTTTAGTCTGAATTCAATTCTTGCCTTCCCCAGTGCAGTTCACAAGTGTTGAATTCAACCTATTCCTCCACTCTAATTGTTATCATTCCAAATAGATAAAAGATTTGTCCCCAAATCCTGGTAGTTGTGCTTACCAAAGCCTTTGAATATTTCTTGGAGGAGTGGAATATTTGGTCGATCAGCAAATATTTCAGCCTGGTGGACAAGAGCTTCTCTCACCATCTGGTACCCATGGACAACCACGAAAGTCAGACCTCCAAACTGCACACTGAAGATGTTCCCATACTGACTAGTGAGCTGAAAGAGAGATCATTGCCCTCTGAGATCAACAAGGTGGGGATTTTAGAAACTCATCTGGACAAGACCTTTAAAGAAGGAGATCTAATTCAAATTTAATCCTACTTGAAGTAAGGGGACTTAAGAAAAACCCAAACCCAAGCCTGCAGGCCCCATCCAATCTAAACTATTCCATGAAGGCGTAAAAAGAGCTGGAGAGCTGTAGTGTGGGAGAGATGGTTTGCTTATTTTTGTTAGCAGGTGTGACCTGGGTTTTAGCAGGTGTTTGCATCAATTTGACTTGTAAGAAGGACGTGACTTGCTTTGTAACTGATGGTCATCTGCTCCATCCCTCTTCACGGAAAGAGTACAAAAGGTGGAAGCACCACCTGGCTCACCACACTCAGGCTCTTCCTACTGAGGACAAACTAAAACAAATTATCCCTTTCATCAACTTTGTGTTTAAAGTAGTGTGGCTTCTCCAGCTTTCCCACTTAGAAGGGGGCTCCAACTGCTTATGGCTAGAAATGTACTTCTAATTTTAAGCCTGAATGCATTTATGTCCAAATTACAGCCATTTTCCTTGCATGGACTCTGCTAGCCTTAGTGTCTCCTACCTGATGTATAAGAGCAAAGGACAGTCACATCCTCTCTCTGCCAAGGAGCTCATCCTCTTCTCAGTGTGAGTCTACATGGAAAGGCACACACAATCATCCTGAACTGCTGTGGTTGCTCATGAAACCATCCTGGGACCAAATGGGTCTTTCAATGATTGTGTATGTGCAAATTAATGGAAATAATGTTCTTAATAATAACTGTGTGTATTGATGAAATATTCTGAGCTTGCTGCTTCAGCCTTCCCCAAGGGTACCCTCAGGGGACATCTGTGCTAGTAGCATGTGAAAACCCAGGGTAGATAAGCTGGTGTCAGTCTGCTAAGTAAAAGCAAGAGATAAATAGTCACCAGAAAGGACATTTACAGCCAGCAAGTCAGAACTTCTTCCACCTTTTCAGAGAGACATACTCAGCATGTATAAAATATCTCTCTTTTGTTGGCTTTGATGGGAGTCAAAGCTCTGGAAACCTTTCAAGAACAATCACTGCCTCTTTCCGCAACACAGAAGAAGCCCCAGGGCTGGTTAATTCAGAGTCTTAAATGCTTCTTTCAGATGTTATGGGGCAAATTGTTATCCTCTGAGCAAAGAAAATTTCTGGAGGTGATCCTCACAGTCCCAACAGTTCATTTCTCACACAGCACTTGCTGTCTGTCCCCCAGACTGGGCCAGCCCTTCCTGGGCTCCAGAAGAGAATGGTCATGGTCAGATGGCAAGAAAGAGGAGGAACACGTAGGTCTTCCTCCATTATAGGTTTCTTTTCCATTGGACCATTGGAGGAGGTAATGAGAGATAAAACCAAGAAGGGTCATCTATCATACATAGTTATTATATACGTAGTTCTTTAGAGGCTGCCCTTGCATTTTCCCAGTTTGGTGACAAAAGTCATGGAAGAGGTAAGATATTATTAATAGGAGAAATGTCCACAGAGCTCTTACCTTCTGCAGGACAAGATGGAGGGGCTGCTTTAAATCCACAATGGTTCCTACGAGAGGAAAGAGCTGTGGCCCTGGAGGAAAATTCCTGGGTCGTCGCTTTCTCACAAGGTCAATAATCAAAAAAGACAAGAGCAGAAATACCAAGAGCATCCGACCATTCAGCTTTTCCAAGAGAGAAACCAAATCAGACCAAAACTGAAGCTTCATCTTGACTGATGAACTCATAAGTTTTCATCCCAAGAAGGGACACAATTCTGGTGTTTGCTAAAACGGGAGTAAGAAAGGACTGGAAAGGAAACAAAACAAGCTAAGACTCTGGTAGCTTTCTGAGGACAGGGATTGCCATGGGTGAGCTGCTTTCCCACGTGCATCTGCTGCCAGACGTCCTGCTGAGTAACTAACCATGAACACTGTGACCTCCAAAAACAACTCCAAAATCTCAAAACGATTGGCCAACCAAAAGCAGTCTTGCAAACCTTTAGCTTTACATTTCCGTCAACTCCCAAATTTTCTCATAGAAGAGCATTCCTCCGTTTTGCCTTGGACAAGGGGCTCCTTTATACAGACACCTAGCTGGGATTATCAGCATGGCAAACATTTGAGGTAAGGTGAAAGCAGCTTACTTGGCTAATTACATATGGTGGGCGTTGCATAGCTTCAGAAATGGTGAGGCATCTGAGGTGATGGACAACACACAAGTGGCTAAGAGGCTGATCCTATTAAGTGCTAAGCACCCTCTGCAAAGAGCTGGATGCCATCAGTGCCCACCAAAGCCTTCTCAACTTCGTCAGAGCCATCAGGTGAGGTTCAGACAAGAGAAGCATGGCAGGAGCCCAGGGCTCTCCCAGCCACTTAAATGGGAGCTAAAGGAGGTTTATTTCGAGAGTGAGAAGACAGACTCATGCATTTGCCGTGAGATTGCAACTTATGCATTTAAATCTCCTGGGTTTTCTGAAAATCTCCTTTGAATTAAGCTTCATGCTGTCCTGGGGGAAGGCTGCAGTGCACTGACAGTGACCTCTGTGACTGGGACTGCTGATACTTCAGCTACAACTTTTTTCAATCTTCTTTTTTTCCTTTTTTTTTTTTCCTTTTCTTTTAATAAATTTACTTGCAAACAATCTAAATTTATACCAAAGCAAAGCTGTCAGTAACGAGTTTTCAAATTATTTGCCTAGAAGTTACAGTGAGGAGTTCAGAAGGATGGTAAATTTTTCTTGTCATAGAATCCAAGAATGGTTTAAGTTGAAGGCAACCTAAAGACCATCTAGTTCCAACCCCCTGCCATGGGCAGGGAAACTATGTCTTCAGTAGTTTTCAGAAAGCTTTACTTTTTCAGAAAAAAAAGAGCAAATTTTCATAGGAAACAATCATTGGGAAAAAACTGGCATTCTCTAGTTTTTCAACATTTTACAAACTTTGTTGTCTATGTCTTTCATTACCTCAGAAGCACACACAGGCCATATGATAGACCTGCACTTCAGCTGTTGCAGGATTCCTTTTTAAAGAGCAATATCTATTTGCAACCCACCCTTCTCTCTTTGAAATATCATTTACAGGTTTTCCTGGATGGAATTAGGCATCAAATGGGGAGGATCAGTGGGACAAACATTTCACAGCACTTGTCTATAAAGTGTGTTTTGCATGTCAGCATAGCACAGCTGCGAGCAGTGGTGGTTGGACATGCTGTGCTTCTCCCCATGCCAATGCACCAACCCTCGTGTTCCAGCCTCCCTGGTGTGGCAAGCCAAGCCTCGCTTACCAGAGGCTAAATCAGGATAGCAGGCTCATGCTCTTCATCCTGGCATCGGGGAGATGACTCGGTTGGTGGAGGTGTCAGCCTACAGCATGCTCAGAGGGACTGTGATGATGAGGCGTCAACTTCTGCTAGCCCAGTTTCACTCCTCTGTTCCTCGCTATGCCATATGATTTGTCAGCATGCACACAGAGTGCAGATCCCTCTACCACTTGTGGCTGCTGTGAATCGGGCTACGTGCAAAGCCAAGGTGTTAATGTGTTCTTCTGGGTGGTGTTGTGGGGGTGGATGCATCGTGGTTGACAGGAGAAATGTTATTTTTAGCAGGAGGAGCACATTTTGCATGTACTCACATGTGTCTTGTCAGTCACAAACCTCAAGTCTATTCCTTTGCCTTGAAGTTTCACATGTCCAAATGTATCCCCTCACAAAGTTCTTAACATGCCAGATTTGCTAAAAATTAGGAAGAGCATTCCAGTATTACCAGGGCTCTCCTAACCTCGGCAGACAATAACACCAGCGTGTCATCAAACTGTGTCATGACGATGTTATTTTGGGTCCCAGGCTTTAATCAACTCAGTGCTCAGCATGTGGTGACGTGCAGATCTCCAAGGCACAGACGAAGTCATGCACTGCAGTGCATGGGCAGTGCAAAGGTGTTGGACAACTCTGATTTTTGCAGTTTTGATAAGACCCTTCCTGGTCACCTGGAAGACAAATCTGTTCCTCTGGTCAGCACCATGAACACAGGAATATCAGTCTTATGTGGTCCAAATAACCAAAACTGAATTAATATGAGGATGAGAACTCACACATCTAGAAGGGGACAGGATGTAAACCTACCTTCCCCCAGTTTCTCCTTGAATACCTTCTCTGACCCCAGTACACGACTTTTGACCACCTCACCTGAGCTCCTGGATACCATGTAGATAATTTGTGCCATATTGCATGGACACACACACATCACTGCTTGAATATTAAGGCATCTTGAACAGCCAACAGACAGAAATTGGCCCATATGCTTTGTACCTTCTTCCCTGGCTAGATGTCTAACTGTGTGCAGAAGGTTTTGAAACACAAAGAGAAACATTCTGTTAAAAATGCAATTACCATTTGTTTTTCAAGATAGAGTATCCCATTATTTTTTCCAGAGAAGTGAAATTCAATAAGGTTACAACAGAATGTAGTCCAACAGTTACCGTACTTTCAGAGCATTATTTAAGCTACAGAATTTCTTAATGATTAGAAACATATGTAGGAAAAATCACATGCAAAATGAAATGACTGGAGACAATTTTCCCCAAAAACACTTTTTTTTTTTTTTTTTAGGCAAGTAACAGCTCATCCAGCACTGTGGTTCCATCCATCATGTTGGAGGTGTGAGACCCCCACCCACTCAGGGAGCCGCGTGCTCAGGTCATGTCAACAAACAGGCTCCACAGAAGTCCAAGGACCCATCCTGACTTACACCAAGGAATATTTTGCTGTTTCTTTGCTCTTCGTGTCAGTCCCAAAGGAGCAGGGCAATTTTCACCATGGGCAAGCTGGTGAACAGCAACAACTGCCCCAGTGAGTGCCTTAAGGCCACATCCCAGAAGGTTTTCACACAGGTGCAGCTGCTGTTTCATGATCCAGCCGAGGTGAGTCGTCATGAACCTGAAGTCAATGACAGCTTTGGACACTCATTTCCTTTTAGGATTTACTTTACTGGATCAAATGAAATGATTTGTAATTTCAGAAAGCCAGGAATGGGGAGTGCTGGAGCACCCAAAGCTCCTGGAGCAAGCTCAAGAAAAACATGGGCACTCACTTCTTAAGCTTAAGTTCCCTGCTTGGGGTGATTTCACAGGGACAAAAGGGCTCCCATAGGAGCTGAGGGAGCTGAGGGCTCAAATATATCTTAGACTTTGACTCCAAGCCCCAGAATCAGGGAGCCAAGTACATATTTGCTGCTGTGCATGTGTGATGAATACTAAAATACCTCCAGTTTTGCATCTTCTCTCTCTCCTTCCTCACGCAGACTAGATGTAAATATTCTCTAGGTTTTCCTGGGACTATAGACCTCTCACCTGGACCCTCGTGGCCACAACATTTCCAGCACTCAGAGCTGTAAGACAGGGAGCTGTCACCAGGAATGGGTAAAGTGAAAGTGAAGAATTATGAGCAGTGCGAGTAGACCTACAAAGTGTCCCACTGTGCCATCTGGGAAGGAGCCCAGAAGATGGGATGCTCAGTCCCACTCTGTAGCAGGCCAAAATGTCCATTTTCTGCTGTGGTGAAGAGTTTGCATTCAGACTTGTCAGCCAGATAATTAGATGTAGGTAGCACAAAGCACTGCAGGGAGTGCTCCCTGTGCTCCCGGACCCTGGATCACCCCTGGCTTTTTGGTCTTTTGGCCAAGATTTTATTCTCTTCCCATCCAGGAGCTGCGCCGTCTTTGCCAGCGCCGCGCCTCTCCGCACAGCAGAGCCCAGACGGATGCACGGAATGAGATTTGGGGGTGCCGGGTGCTTCCCCCCGAGGGGGCCGAGCCCGAGGCACTGCCGGCGGCAGCCGCCCACCATCCCCCTGGCAAGGCTCTCCCACCGTCTGCTGCAACCTGGCACAGCCGGGGCTGCAACCCCGGCTGTTCGCACGGGGCGGCTTCCTGCATCCCAGCCCTTCCTCCGGCTTCCCGCAAACCTCCGGAATACTCTCCCTTCGAAGGCGCACCTTTTCAGTATTCACAGAGAAGAGTACAGTCACATATTCCTCTCAAAGCCACAAGGACTTGACTAGAGCTAAAATGTCATTTATGTACATATCACAAGCGTTTTTCTAGGCACAGATGTCTTTCTGGTGCCAATATGCTGTTTATGTACTTATCTGTCACAAGCACATGTCTACATACATATGCCCTGCTGGCAGAGGCACAGAGCATTTTGAAACTCTTATTAGACTGCTAATGAATAATACGCATACAAAGGAGAAAACAGAAGGTGGGTCTATCAGGAACAGCCTCTTTCTTAACTACCTTTTAATTGTAGGAGAGGAAGAAAAGAGATGAATTTTGATATGTTGGCATCTGTGAGGGCCTGCTTAGCAGCATCCAACGCCATCATTTTAAAAGTGGATTTTTCACAGGTTTGGGTATTTTGGGGGGGAGGGGAGGATTTTTTTTTCCCCTCTTAAAAAAAAAACCAAAAAAAACACAAAATTTTGACACTGAGAGTATTGCAAATCCTGGTGCCAATGATGTACGATAGTGTGATTGTCACCATGGAATGCTGAAAAGCCCGAGCAGCTGTTTGGCATATTGACAGTGCGAATTCGGAGCGTTTTAAATGCAAATGACAGTATTCAATTGATCGCAGGAAAACAATGGGTCATAGCCTTACCTTTCCTTGGCTATGCTCTGAATAATCAGGCTGCAAATCCATGC